TTCTGGCCGTTATTCAGTGAGTCTTTCATAGGGGAAAACTTTGTAAAGCACAGAATTCTTTCGGTATCAGTCAGTTCAACGGAGTTGCGCTTGGAATAGAATCTTTTGTTCATGTCGATGTGGACGTTTGGTTTTGTTGATTAGCAGGTTGATAATGAGAATGATGTTGCTGAGTTGCAAAGCATCTAATAACGTTATAAACGGTCTATCGACATTACCTGAGGACTGGGTGAGAGGCTGCCTTTATCGGAACTCGGGAAGTGACCGAAAGGCCGGCCAGTCACTCCTCATTGCACTCACGATTGCAGATAACATATACTCCGTTGCACGGCAGATCAGATCGTACCATCCGATGCCTAGAAGCTGTGACGTATAACGCTTGGACCTCGCAGAATTTGAAGCGAACGTAAAAGCCCGCGTTGGACCATACATTGTACGGCATTAACGGTAGTCGGAGGTTTGCCTTATTAGAGCCTTGGTGTGCACTTAGAAGAAGGTGTGTCCAGAGGTCTTGTGAGGATCTCACAGAGGAAGTATGCAAAGTTTCACTGATACAGATGAGGACTGTAGCAGTATTGACCCTGAGTTGAATCAAGCGACGCTGCTGCCTAACTGCCCGATACCCGTTCGGCAAATGTTTACATGTCATCAGACAAAAAACAACAAAAATATACCCTGCGAAACGATGCTGTTCTGTCAAACGACGACAATTACTAGTTTCTACTAACCACTCGCCATATAGACGGTAGCGAACATCAAAGCCGGACGAAGCTGGTCGTTGGCCCGCTGTCGGTCGTCGTCGTCGTTCGGTTTTGATCTTCCCGGCATCCGTCCGGATTGGCCGCTTTCATATGAAGCGCAGAGGCTAGCCTCGACGTCTCGCGCATACTTTTTTTGACCATTAAATTTTGACTATTAAAGTTAGCAGCCATGAAAATTATTTATTTTAATGTTCATGTGTTTTGCACAGCTAGGCCCTTTATCCTTCGACGATAAAATTGTGGTTCTGGCGCATTTTGTAATAAAAGCCGTTCATTACTGCCAGATTTGCGTAACGTCGTTTCGTCACTGACAGATCAGTTCGATGGAACGCCGGAAACAGAAGATCCGCCGGTTTCCTTGGACGATCTACGCTTAACTTTCTACTTAATTGAAAATAATTCGTCTACTGTCCTTTTTGCGCGTCGCCCCTCTCTGAATCCTTCTTAAAATCATCGTTTCTACGAATTTAATATGCTTTCCGACGTTAAAACCAAATGGCCTTAAGCTTAGGTCATATCCCATTGTCGTAAGCAACTAAACAACAGGAAATCACCAACCACGCACGTTCAGGTTATCCAGAAGAACGTCTGCCTCCAACTTAACAGATAGCTGACGATACCGCAAAACGAAACATGTTGTTGTTGCTGCTGTTGTTACGGTTGTCATCGCTATTCGTTTAATCGACTCCGATGCCGTCCTGCATCCCTGCTTTCCTCCTCCGCGATCACGTGCAAAATTCAGCCAACTTTTCTTCCACCATTTTTATCGGTACACGACCGGCCCAGAGAGGATTTTAACTGTCAGTATGTCTGACAGTATCCCTCCAAGTTTTAGATGCCCCCTGTTTTCCGGTGTGACTTGCAGTATAGTGGGGTTAATATCGTCTGGTAGACGACTCAGCACTTATCCCCCTTAGTCAACGCAGTCATCGTTTGTTCAGGACAATAAGGAGCTGGATAATGTTGCAACAGAAAGGACATGGATCTTTGGTTACACTTGGATTTCTGCAAGGTAATGTCCCATGGAATATTCAGCTTGCATATGCAAGGTATGACGTCCACTTCATAAAAAATATACCCACGTTTACGCTCAGGTAGTTCCTTTCACTGTGAATTTGTCAAGCGTAATGAACGATATGAAAATGAATCGTTGTTAACCGCACCGTTGCTTGGAAACGCTTTCAGAGGTCTTCAAAAAATTAAGCAGCATTATTCATTTCACCCATGGCAGGATGGATGACTAAGCTGGAACCTGATGTCTGATGCCATTGGCCGCAAGAATATGATTTTATATAGACAAAAGTCATCTCTCGTTGTCCGACATGTTTAGAAAATATTCCATGCAGCGTGGCTTGAGTGATTTGGATACGAAGATGTTTGGAGAGGCTTCTTGGTTCTGGCACCATTTCAACTCGTGTGCGGTCTGCCTTCCTCGCTTTCTTCCACCGATGAACTTTTCTTTTCTGTCCATACTGAATAAGCATCAAGCATACCTTTTGGTTCAGTTTTCTGTTCGTGCTATTGTCTCGTATTTCCATCAGTGGTCGGCTCCAGATCGCTTTGTTTCAAACGATTTGCATGTGAAATGACAATGTTACAGAGAATAAGCGATATTCTTTCTAGGCTAGAAACACAGACTTTGGCATTCATGGATATTCTTCTTTGAATTTCTCCAGCCTGATCATGCCTTCTGTTGAGCTCATGACCCCAGTAAATTTATTTATCGACTTTGATTTTTTCACCGTTTCACCTGGGTCCTCTGCGAGACATCCTGTCGGACGTCTGCACTGGTTCTCTCGACCTCTGGCAACGTGTCTTTTAGCTGACTGACGTTTTCAGCAAACAACACACGTCATCAGCGAACCCTAC